GTGTGAGCTGGACGAGGTGGGACACCCCAGGGAGCCCCCGTGGCCAGGTCTGTGGCAGGCGCAGCTGGCCAGGCTCACTCAGCAGACCGCAGGCGGTAGCGGAAGCGCACATCGTGGCTGGGCTGGGTGGTGCCGAAGCCCCAGCGCCGGGGGTCCACCGGGGGCACGGGTGCGTCCGGATCCACCATTTCCACCTCAAAGTAGGTGACCATGAGCAGGATGAAGAGCTTCATTTCGCTGAGGGCGAAGTGCCTCCCGGGGCACATGGAGACGCCCGCCCCCCACGGCATGTTGTAGTATGGTATCTTTTTGCCCCTCTTGCGGAAGTCCACTTTGCGGCTGCCATCCGGGTTGAGGAAGCGGTCGTACTTGAACTTGGTGGGCTCGGGGTGGATTTCCGGGTCCATCTGGACTGACAGGTAGGGGAAGATGGCCACCTTGTCTCCACGGCGAAGCAGGTATTCCTCCCCACTGGCCATCTTCAGGTTGAAATCCACCTGCACTGCCCGGAGGAGAGTGGGCGAAGCCCCCAGGCGCAGGGACTCCTCCATCACGCTGTCCAGCACCGGGGTGTGTTTCAGAACACCAGGGTCGCAGCAGAAGGACTGCGTGGCCTCCAGGCTGGCCTTCCCCAGGACCTTGGTGGCTTCCTCCTTCACAGCCCGCATGGCATCCGGGTGCTTGAGGAGGAACATGAGGGCCCAGAAAGAGGCAGGCCCCGTGTTCCCTTGGGAGGCCCAGAGCATCATGAAGTTGAACTTGTCCTGCATGGCCGGAGCCACCTCCAGTGCCTGCAGCTGCTGCAGCATGTCCAGAATCCAGCGGCTGACCCCCTCCTTCTGCAGGTTGTGCCGCACTGAGAGCACCTTGTGGAACAGGCGCTGTAGCCGGCCCACGTGTCGCCATTCCCGGGGCCAGAGCACCGAGTAGACAAACCTGGGAAACAGGACGTCAAAGCGGCGGAACTCCACAAACAGCTCCTCGGCCTCCAGCAGGTCCTGAGCCGCGTCTGGCGTCCGGCCGAACAAGCTCAGGTAGCCCGCTTTGAACAAGGTGTTGTAGCAGAAGTGAAAGAGGCCGTCCTCACGCCAGCCGCTGGCCGACGGACGCCGGCCCTTTGGCCCCAGCATGACCAAGGACAGGGTGTCCAGCATGACCTCGTTGAGCTCCTCTAAGCCGCCCCCCATCAGGTGCTTGGTGCTGGTCGAGTGTATCATGTGGTAGTCCTCCGCTAGCGGCTTGTATCCAAAAACCTTCAGCACGAGTTCTTTGGCGTACTCGATAAAGTCCAGTCTTCTCTGGGTGTCCTTCAGAATAGGACCAAAGGATAAAGGGTCCATGACGAAGGTGAAGTACTGGCCACCGAGCAGCACGGTGAACACATCCCCATGCTTGGCCTGCATCCGTCTCAAGAACTCAACCATATTTATCCGGAAAGCCATGGCGTGGCCCAGCCAAGGCACAGGGCCCTTGTCCAGAGGGGGCTCCTGGGGCCTATGTTGTCGGAACAGCCCCGGCAGGCTCAGGAACCCCAGGACGGCCACCAGCAGGGCACCCAGCACGAGACCCCAGAGCACCATGCTTGCGCTCCTTCAGGCTCGGCTGTGGACACACTGATTGCTCTCGGCATGCCAGGGACATTTTGAAAGGCCCTGACCAATCAGGAGGGAAAGGCCTGTCCCTCGTTAGACCTTGCCCCGTGCCTGCAAATACAGTAAATAACTCCAGTGGGAAAATCCTTTGGGACAAAATGCTCCTCTGAATTTGCTGGAGCCTGGTCACGTGGAGGGAGGCGCTTAGTCACCGCCTCCTCTCCACCTTCTTACCTTTTCCCAGTCAGTTATACCTTCACTGGCTCACTCATTCAGCAAAAACATACGAAGTTCAGTTATGAAATTTTCTTTTTAAAAAATCATTTTTGGGGGGGCTCATACAACTCTTATCATTAATCCATCCATCCATCCATTGTGTCAAGCACATTTGACTGGGCTGGAATGAGCAGCCTGGAGCTGAACTGTG